TTCCTACATATTGATTTTAATAAGTTTTCTTTTTTACAAATGAACATGGTGGAAAAGTCATTTAAAAAAAAATCTAAGTTTTTGAGCATAAATGTGTATAGAGTATTTTTCCTTTTAAAAGAACTTGTGGGTTGCGTAAATAGTGGAAAAATTTCAAAGAATGACTCGTGATAAATATCCAACATAAAATTTATTATTCGATAGCCAGAAAAGAAACAAAACTATTACTATTAAAGATGTGCAAATGGCACAAGTTGATACAGCGGCAGATAACAAGTCCTCTTACAGCTTGTACACTTATCTGTAAACTGGACTCATATGTTCAGTACAGCTAAATTCAAAATACAGGAACAAAGAATACTTTGAAAGTACAGGAAGTTTCTTAGGGAAAACTGCGAACTCAGTCATGGTAAAAAACCCTCTAAATAGGTGAAAATTGGGTACATTTGTTGTAAGTACATAGGCTTTAAGTTTCCTAAATTCCTGCCTGATTCTTTGATCTCCCTCATAATTTATGGATTATAAATAGCTGCGAACTTGTAATTATATTGTAGTTAAATATTTTTATACTCACTATTTGCTTTTTAGTAGTTTTGCAGAAAAATCATTAAATCAGAATTAAAAAGTGAGTGGTACCAGCAGTGTACTTTCAAATGCAACCATACTTGGTGACAAGATGGATGTCACTGTGTGGGTTGGATTGTGTACTCCCCTGTGGCTTGAATTCTGTGAAAATGAAGTGGGCAGAAATTCAGGACATAAAATTACTAAAACATGAAGAGAGGAAGAAATGTAGGTAAACCATGGTAGCAGATATACGTAGGGTAACAGATATAAGAGAAAGGACATGAAGGCATGAAAAGTAGTTTAAATGTTGACTGCTATTAAAGGCCAGTGTTTTCTAAACCTGTACCAGTTCCAGTTCCCCACAAAGAGTCTCTCACTGCCATAATAGTAAATTACAATAAAGGAGACCATGTGTCTACACTCCTGCTCATTCCTGTTCCTCATCTCCTAGATATACATGCACAAGAACGCTGTCACAAACAGAACAAAAGGAACAGAAATTCTTGATTCTCAGCTCATCAGACATTCCTATCCCACAGCTATCTTCAGCACAACAGAGGACTGCAACATGCCCCAGTCATTTTTAGGTTGATTACAAGACTGAGAAGCAAAAGAGAAGAAAACCGAGTGTGAAAAGAGCGGACTGGGGTAGTTTTACTAATTACTGCAGATAGACTGAAAAGGAATATAGTGTCCTTTCAGAAACAGAACCACATTTTTTTAAAGAATCTGCTTATAAAGCCTTGCACGTTATAAAGTTATTAGATATGATCTCTGCACCTACTGCCAAGCAGACCCTTTCAAATTTCCCACAGGGTGGGGGTTACACTTAATAAATTGGAGGACAAAGCCACATTTCTCAAATAAAGCTTCTAACTGTTAAGACTTTCCATTGCACTTAGAAGACTTCCATAGAGAATAGACCATTTCACAGCATCATGAAGGCAAACTGGAGTAATTTGTAGAACACTGTTGCTTTGCTGTACATTCATACTGGAGGACAGTATATGATATCAATAATATTTGTAGGGTCATACAAGAAGCAGCAAGTTAATGAAGCTATTGAATAGAAAAAAAATAAGAGCTCTAGGCAGGCAGCATGACTAAATTCAGCATATGCCATGAGGAAACAAGCACAGAACAGAGCAGTGAACAAAAGTAATGAGGTGAAGAACAGCTATGCCTGCTCTACATCATTTGCATTATTACATCATCCCTTAGGGCAGGGTTCCAGTTGTACAGTGGGCTGCACAAAACTGGTTATTTTAGGCTGCGACTCCACAATAAATGTTACCTGAATAAGCCAGTACTGTTGTACATGTTTTGTACTGTAGTTGGTAAAAACATATCCTGAACAATAGCATGAAAGCCTTTTCAGAAAGAGGAGCTGGAATCTTCATCAGCACAGTATCTACATTGTGTGACAATAAAAAGGTTGACATATGAACATCCTTTTCACAGTCATCTATAAAGCATGGCCTGATCATTATTGCAGCAGTATCAAAAGATGAGAAGATGTTGTACACTCAAGGCTCAAGGAACAACTAGGATATATATTTGAGTAAAACCAAGACAACAGTAAACAAGTTACTAACATATCCCAGTGAAGACAAAAGTATTTCTTGCAGGCTGGTTAGTCATGGTGGATGCCTCTGGATATTGTCTGCAGAAGTTAATTTTTCTGGAAAGTGCACTCAGATATTCTGTAAATCCCCAAACACAAGCAAACCAATGGTATGAGGCTTGGCACCAGGGAAAGAAAAACTTACAATTTATGGAACTGCCTGACAGTTTCTAGGCAGAAAATAAGGAGTTTGGAGAATTTTAAATGCTGTGGCAACCACAGGTCAGTGTCCTTTCCACCATTTCTACCTGGTAACAGGATATCTCAGACACAAATTGATGCCACTGATGTAACAATCGTCTTGAAAACAGTCTGACTCCAAAAGAAAAAGTTGCCTGCCTTGTTTAAGCACTGGATAAAAAGGTTTCAACTTGTCAAAAATCCTAACCTTAGGACAAGACTTTCTTCCCTAAGCACAACTCTGACCCAAACAAGCCTAAGCCTGCTTCTGATGTGAGCAGTTTGCTAGTCGTCAGCGTGGATAACCAAAACCAACGGTGTGCCAGTATGAGACAGATCACTCCCTTTATGTGACATGGCTACAAACTTTGATATGCCATAACAATGCTTTTCTGATGAGCCTTTAACACTTTGAATGGATTTGAATAGAACTGGAAGGAGTTCAGAAATCCTGCTTACTTGCTGAAGCAGGGATGGTGTCCTTGAGAAAAATGCAGATGCAAGTGGTACAATAAAACTGAAGACAGGTAGATGATTTACAAGTTTGTCAGACTAATAAAATAATAAAGTAATTATACATAACATAAAAACCTTGAAATGGTTACACATGCATTTTGCAAGGCAGAGAGGCAAATGTGACAGAGCCAGGTGCTGCGTAACAGGCTTTGCATAGCAACTCACGAAATCATCACTGCACGATTTTTAGTCAGTTTTGCCACATAGCATGAGTTGTTCCAAACTGTTGTATCCTGCAAGCAGAATATGCAGCTCATGATCTGCTGGCTCTGGGAGCTGAACTACCCCCAAGTTTGATAGAGAGTCATGACTAGGAAACAATTTAGTTGTTCTCCGGGGTGAAGAATGGAAGGAAAAGGTATCCGTTGATTAATACACTGCAGTGCTGATCCACCCTTTAATTTGGGGAGTGGAGTCAAACAACACCTCTGCCTCACTTCATACGGAAAATTGAATTTTTCTTTGGACTATTACTGTAAATCAAAAGATACTCCCATCTGAAACAAAGGCTAGTAATGTTGGAGGAAAGACATTCCCTGATTTCCACAGACGTTGGGTGAGGCTCGAACTTTATACACTTTTGGAGTGAGCTAACTGAAAAATGAGGCAGGCTGTATTTGCCATTATAAAGGATTAGTACTGAGGCAATAAGAGTATCAGAGAGAGTCAATGTCACTAGAATTTTTTACAAATGCAGAAATTCTGTCCCAGTATTAAAAAATTATCAAAATTATGTACTTCTCAGTGAAAACCTTTTGAACAATAATAAGCAGGAACCCTTTTTACTTGATGAAATTTATATATACAGATCTAGCTTCTACTTGCTTGTCTAATTGACATTTGCCTGCATTCCTTATGAGTTAGATCCATTTTAACAAGTTAACCAGAAATAAAAGACTTTAGAATATCTTGGCTATTGCATCTGAAAACAGCTTCTGAACTGAAATAAATCTGTGTCTCTTCAGTGAAATGAATAGACCCCTTCTGTCTGAACTAGCTGAGAACCAACTCCTTTTGGGCTGTTTTTTGGAAATACTTTAATAAAATTCATTACCATGGTAAATACAATGTCATTGTCCTGGGCTGCTGATGCTGGAACAAGGCTAACACACACTTTGAATTTTAAACTCTCTGTCCATTTTACTGTCTGCTTTTCTTGCAGACAGACTATGCTTTTTATTTTCCCCAGCAAAATCATGGTCTTTCTCTGCTTTGCCAATTTTCCCCTTACATTTTTTTTGCTTTTTTCTTTTTTGTGTTCATATGTATGGGGGATGGGGGTGGGGTGATGTCCCTGAAGGAGAGTAGGTTTAGATATTAGGAAGAAATTCTTTACTGTGTGGGTGGTGAGGCACTGGAACAGGTTGCCCAGAGAAGTTGTGGATGCCTCAATCGTGGAAGTGTTCAAGGCCAGGTTGGATGGGGCTCTGAGCAACTTGATCTAGTGGAAGTGTCCCTGTCCTTGGCAGGGGGTTGGAACTAGATGATTTTCAAGGTCACTCCAACCAAAACCATTCTATGATTATCCTCCTCTTCTGCTCGGCTATCAAGCTAAGGCACACCAGTCAGGCAGCACAGGGAGAAACGGGACTCACCGGGGCGTGCAGAGGCGATCGAATACTTCGCATTTCCCCAAGGACCAAGGCACAGGGGCACGGGTTGTGCCTGTGATGGGAGATTCCTGCGACACCAAAGACCTCCAGCATCGCACCTACTGCAAAGTGCTGCTTCTGTCCCCTCTCGCGCGTTCCCCTCCCGGGAGAGGGAAAGGAACAAGTAAAGTTTTCGGTGCTTCTCTGCCTACTGAGCCTGCCGATGCTATGGAAGCAGGACCATCGCCACGCCGCTCCAACGGGGCAGCCACACCTGGCACACGCCGCCAGCACGGATAGAGACATCCCGTATTTTACACGGGAAAACCATCAGTAGTGGTAGCAGAAGGAGGTGAGAGGTGGTGCGGGTGCCCTGCCTGCCAGTCCCTCCGGCCCCCGGCGAACACAGCCCCGGCGAGGCGCCGGCAGCACCACGGACCTCCGCGGCTGTAGCCTCCGCCGAGCTACAGGGTGAACCCGCTGTCCCGCGGGGACCCACCCAGCCCCAGCTCCCTACTCACCGATCTCCCCATCATCATCATCTTCCTCCTCCTCCTCCCCCTCCAAATCCAGCAGTACATCTTGGTTCTTCACATTCATCTTCCCGAAGTTGCGGCCCCTCTCACCCGCTCCCCCGCCGCCGGCGAAGCCAGCCCGCCACCAGCCCTGCCTGCCCCGGGGGCGGAGCTGCAGCGGGGCCGGGGTGACAGCGGGGGGCGGGCGAGGGGCGGCCACCGACACCTTCCCGGCAGAAGGGTCCGCCCCCGACTCGCCGGGCACTGCCGGGCATCCCCCGGCCCGGGGCTCAGCCCTGCACAGCGCCCGACCCAACCACTGCACCGCGGGCAAGATGAGCGCCGGGCCTTTTTGAAGCGCCGGGTCTTTTTGAAGCACTGGGTCTTTTAAAAACGTTATGCACCCAAGCACTGAAGGACTCACTATTGCTAAATATTGCTGTAAATGTGAAGCCCACATACGCAAAAAAACCCCCAAAGCAATAAGTATTGGCAGAGTTATTTGGAAAAAGAAACGGAAATTGTGTGGGAATGCTCAAGGTCTGAATAAAAAGCCCGTCTCTAGAGCTCTACTGATGTATTCAACTTCTTTTTGACTGTTTCACAAGTAAGAGGTCCTCATCTCCATCTTTACCTCCAGACACAACCTAGGAGAATTTTGCAACACAGGGAATGCAGAATTGTCACTATGCAGGAATGCTGTGGAGGCAGAAGTACTCAGAAAAAGGGATTTGAGTGCTCACCAATATAGTCATTTACTCACATGTATTGGTTCCAGGGGGGGAACTAGAGGGCTTCTAAAACTGCAAGATATCTAGAAGAGTGCCCAGAGAGGAACTGGACGGAGTCCGTATAGTGGGAAGAAGTGCAAATGGAAATAAGACTGGAAAAATGGATTAAAGAAATGGGGGAGCCATGGTTTGGGGGTTTTTGTCTGCATAAAGCAGTAAAAACCCTATAAGCAATCTATTCTCAGTATTTAGTCTATTGTTGATACTGAAATGACCCACAGGACCCAGGATGTTTAAAGTGTACAAACAAGAAAGTGGACAAAAAGCCATTTGTCAGATAAGTTTGTCACTTGTTATGGTTATCTGTTGTCAGTCAGCTGTGGGTTAGAGTCAGAGCAGGGCCTGGCACTACAGTAAGTCTAAGCACAAGTACTTTCAGCAAAAAAATGAGTTGAGAAATTTAATTGGGAAGTTTTGGAGCAGCTCCGCCTGGCAAAGACCATTTGTCATTGATTGCTTAAAGACAGAAGTGGTCTGCAAGGGCGTGAGTGAAACCATCAGGACAGAAGCTACTGCTCTTGCCCTTATTGATGCCAGCACTGGTATTACTGTTATTTGCACCATCTGACACTGTGCATTTTCTCACTCGGATAAAGAAAATCTCACAGAGCTGAACAAAAGAAGGAGGGCCACATGATGGGGAGATACCCAGTAGGGGGTAATGATGCATAGCAAAATGTGTTTTCTTGTGTCCTAAGTTAGAAACCTTGGGTACTGCCCTGTGATGCAGCCAATCTGCCTCTGACCATCTAAGCATGTGCCTTACTCACTGTCATGACCCCTTGTCAGGTTTCACACTCAGTGAGGTCATGGGGAGAGAGTGAATTGTGCAGTTCCTAGCCAGGAGTGTTTACTCCAAGATGACTCATTTGTAGACACTTCGTGGTTTCGATGTGCCAAGCACACAGTTGCAGCAGGATCTTTAGATACCTGTATTGTGTAATATTCAATTGCCCTCCTTTCTTGAAGGTCCTCCCCAAAATGTGGTCCTGGATGATGAGATCTTATTTCATAAATGATGGGAGGAGGGCAGGGATTGTTACAGACAGAGTACAGCTTGACTTAGAGTGAGATTTGTGCACTGAGATACTCACCAGGGACATAATTGTCACCTTGGTTACGTACTTCCCATTTTCACATTTAATGAATGAAAATGTAATCAAATAAAGGTAAACTGCAAAAAAAAGCAGCACATCAAAACCAGGCTATAAACAAAATGCTGAGGGTTTTTTGTTTTGCTTTGGGTTTTTTTTTTTTTTTTTTAGCTTGATCCTGTGAGAAATACAGGTAGAGGATCTACCTCTTCAGTCCTGCTCTTACTGTAAGATTTCTCCGAGCATTTAGGGAACATAAAGGTTTTCTAGGCTTTATTCAGCCTTCAATACCTGAATGTTCAATTTCATAGATTACTTCAGAGTGAGGTTGCACAGTGACCTTGAAAACCAGTGAGAATACTGTGTCTAAAATTCCCATAAAACTGTTTGAAAATGCATAGCCATCTGTTTTTTAACTTCGTACCAGGTGCAAATATTTCCATGTGTACTGTCGGTAAAGCACCAAAGTTTCAGGAGCTCAGTTTTGTTGCGCCTGAAAAACAGATTAAGGAAAAAAAAAGAAGTAAATGAAGAGGAAAATGCAACAGCACCACCCTGCTGCCATCTCTTTGTCAGATCGATAATAGCAAAAGATCCACTCAAAGAATTGCAGTTGTGTAACCCCTAGCTGAGTTTTTCAAAAGCCAATTGAAATGAAAAAGTTAGGGTAACTAACTAATCCCTGACCCTGCTCAAGCATGGCTATATGCAATTTTATTGAAGAAATGAAATTGTTTTAACATTCCTGATAGTGAGAAACAGAGCCAGTCCATGGAGCCAGTCGAAAAAATTGCTTCCATGGGTAAGGGTTTCATAGCAACCATAACAATATAGATCAGGAAGAGAGTAAAAGAGATTTTTCAGACCAGTGGTGACAAAATTCTGGCGCAGGCACCAAGTCTTTAACTGATGTGGATCTGGGCTGGCACCAGGGGCTCTGAGTTGCAGGGCCTTGGACAAAAAATCTGGCACTGAGCATCAGTCAGTAGTCTGGTCCAGCCCCCAGCAGTAATGCAGATTTGAACATATCTGAACATTGGTGACAAATATTTGCCCATCATGTATTTAACATTGTCTAGTGGGGAACCCATGAAATTCCCAGGTAAGCTCTTGCCAGAGTTTCAATTCTGTCAGTACAGAGCCGAAATAATTTTGCAGCATTTGAAGCTGTTTTCTTTTTGTCCTTCTCCCAGGATCCATGAGAACAGCTGGTGGTTGTTCTCTTAATAGCAACATATTACATGTGGAAAACCATCACCTTAATACCTCTGAAGCTTTTCTCATCCAGCCTACACAAACCTAGGTCTTTCATCCTTCCAGCATGTATCACTGTCTGCGCTTTTCTCTCTCTTAGTAAGTTAGTGTAAAAAACGCAGTGTGAGGCTCTATGGAAGGAGAAGGTGATATTGTTTTACAAAATCTAAGTACCTTGGCTTTACCCACTTACAGTCCTTTTCTCAATGATTGCATTGACTTAGACTCTCATATCCACATACTTACAAAACCAATGTGTGAGTGTTCAAGTGGTCTGGGTAGGGTCACTTGTGTACAACACAGGTGACAAGGGGGTCATGGAATCTTCATCCTTGGACATACTCAAAAGTCACCTGGACACAGTACTGGTGGTCATGTTCTAGCAGGGGAAATGAACAAGATGACCACCAGAGGTCCCTTCCAATCTCAACCATTCTGTGATTCTGTGAAGGAATGATAGGTATCAGGTCCTCATTGTATCTGTTGAGGAATGACAAACTAATTTTTGGACAGCTGTTTTATATCCAAGAACCAAAAATCACTATGACATCATTCTTTTGCATCAGACGTCTGCTTATTTTGAACCTCCATAAATTTTACACAAATCTAGTCTGAGTTCCTTAAGGCCATAGTCTGTGTTACAGGTGGGCTAAAAAGAAAAAGATGGTGTATATGATGTGCTGTCATCTTCTCCCCATCTTCCTCTTGTTAGAAGGTAAAGTCTTCTGCTGAAAGGCAGTCTGTGGTCAGATTTGACTGGAGTGCAGGCCTCCTGTGCTTAACACAGGAAACAGTTCTGTGCACAGAAACAAATACTGTATTCCAGGTAAGAACTCATGCACAGTGAATAGTATTGCTGTACCATTTTGGATGTGATTTTCCTTCTAATATGTCCCAGAGCAATAATTTTTTTTTTCCACATTTGTCAACTCATATTTCTATTGGACTATGCAATAAGTCTTAGATTAATTTCTGCAGTATAATAATTTCTGCAGTATAATAATTTCTGCAGTATAATTAATTTCTGCAGTATAATTTCTGCGGGGCCTCTGGTGGTCTAGTGGTTAGGGTGCAGGACTCTCACCGCTGCGACCCGGGTTTGATTCCCAGCCCCCCGGGTAGATGGAGCTTGTCAGCCCTGTGAGGCAATCCATCTAAGAGAAGGTCACTCTAAACAAACCTACATCCTGGGGACCTCACTGCCACTGTCCAAGTTTGCTTGGCCCCGGCAGATGAACCTCAGGATTAAAGGGTGGGCTCAGTTCAGCGCACGCTGTGTCTCACCTAAAAAATCCACTGCGCAGGCTCGAAGGGTTAATGACCTTTCCCAAATCTTCGCTCGCGAAGACTGGCCATTATTATTATAATTTCTGCAGTTGAGTTCTTTGTCAGGAAGTTTTCAATTTTTTATTTCTGTAGTTGAATTTCTGCTCCTAAGGGGACAATTTTTGCCCTTATTTTTATTATATTTCCTCATTTGATCAGTTCTTTCTCATTCGTCAAGATAATTTTGAATACAGTTGTTGTCTTGGTGCTTGCAAACTTCAGGAGGACAAAATTCATACAGCTTAAACCATAGGCTTGGCAGAATAAAGACCATAAGCATCTAGAAAGGAGACATGGAGGAACGGTAGGTCAAATGTACTTAAGAAAAGTCTTGGGAGGAGAGAGTTTTGTGGGAAAGCTATCAATTATTGAAAGATACTGTATTAAGGCTACTATAGCAAATTATATCAGCAAAATTTGTGAAGAATAGCAGGAGATGAGTATCACTGTGTGATACTTTTAATAACTGCTGGATATTGTGCCTTCATGTCTGAAAGCAGGTGAATTTTACACCATTACTGAAAATGTTTGAAACTCGGTAACAGAAAAGAGACCATTTGAAATGCAAAGCCCCTGTTCTAATAGAGGCATAAAATCAGAGGGAAGATAAAAACAAATAAAATGGTCATTCCCCACAAGAAATT